GTTGTGAGCCAGCAAATAATAGGAAAAGTTCATATAGCCCCCACCATATTAAGGATTGACTATAAAACATGGTATTATAACCCTTGGATGGTTTGTAGAGCTATTTTTCACCATGGCCCGCCACTGAATTACCCATGCTAGTATGCGGACCCATATGTAAGATGTGTGGGCCGGGATGGATGGTGAAAGCTAAGCGCTCATGAGGGAGGTGAATTGGGTGCCTACTAAAAAACCTCAATGCAAGGCTCAAATGAAACTACTAGCAAAAAAACTATAAACTAGTTCATGTATGATGTGCACCTAGATTTTTCTAGTGTGCTTTAACTTACCCTTTAACCCACAAAGCGTTTCACAACCTAGAGTCAATCCTACCAATTAGCCTAACCTAATCTAGGAAGGTAAAGGTCACATAAGTTTGCATAAGTGGAAAATAGATCAATCAGGTAAGTATAGAGCAAGAGATAGAGAATGCAAACTTCTAAAGATGAGACGATTTATCCCATGGCATAGGTTGCCAAAACATAACCTCTAATCCATGTTGGAGATCCATCAAGGTACGCTCCTAGTCATGATATTAGGCTCGCCATCAAGATTCCCCGCTAACCAAGGCATGTGTCATAATCCACCAAGGCTCACAACCAACGACCGATTATTTTGGTGACCTTGGTGTCATCTTCACTATAGAGTTTCTCCACCAAGGAAGGGTTTTCCTCATCTCTCCCACACCAAGTCAACGCCACTTCACACCAAGAAGCTCGGAGGGTTGATACGGGAAGGTCACCAAGACCTCAAGCACTATGTCTCACCAAGATACAAGGGCACAATGGTCCAAACTCTCAAAGCTATCAAGCTCTAAGGCCAAACCCTTATAAAGAGGTTTGGCATGTAATCTCTACCAAATAATATTAAAACCAAGAATGCTCCTTCAATCCCTCATTCCTTCCACCTAATGACAGGTGGGTTCAAGCCGCTCCTGGGCCCCATGGCTGGCCAGGACTCTGGTAGCAGCGTTGGATTTTATTCATCTAATTGTGTAGATAATTCAAAGAGCTTGTAACAAATAGGACATAGTTCGATTGTGACTTGAGGTTCTTACACCAAGACTTATCAAGATTGTGCAACTCATGTGTTGAGTTGTGTTCGGTCTACCAGCTGAGTCCAATTCTTGATCAGGTTTATTTGGTGGCATACCTGAATTAAGTTATGTAATCAGCCCATCTCCATGCACAAATCTTGAGACGGGGGGTTGTCTTTGGGCTTGTTTACAAGCCATATGAAGGCTAGGGGATGTGATCCCTTGTAATTAGATTATTCAATTTGTTTGGAAGCGTATTGTGTCATTTCGGTCGATCTACCATGTCCAACAGCATGGACGGCATATAGCGGATGACTAGAAGGACTTCAACAATAATGACAATTTAGGAACCAAAGAATACACCAAAATCATTTTAGGAGACCATCATATGCTCACGAGTGGTGCTCATCATATGCTCACGAGTTCTATCCCGACAGTAGGGTTGCCTAAACATGGTTGTGAAGGTTAACCTCCATGTCCATCTAGCCTAGTTTCCCTACTTACATATGATAAAGTCTTATTTTCTCCTATTGCAAGACAAGGTATATATATTTGCTACTAGACCAGTAATAACCTAAAGTAACAGACATTTAAAATTGGAAGGAGAAAGTATGCAATAGATGAGGTGTAGAACTAAGGGAGTTGCCGTGGCACACACTAGATCAGTATTATCTACTCTCCCCGTTTCCCGTTCTGAAATATAAGACGTTTTGACTTTTTCTAGATACATTATTTTTCTATAAATCTAGACATTATGTATATCTAAGTGAATAGCAAAAAAAAATCTAGAAAAGCTAAAAATATTTTATAATTTAGAATGGATGGAGTACAGCGGTACCTTTGTACCTAGTTCATGGTGATAGGACTCAAACTCTGTCCATGAATTTATTCTCTCCGGCTCTTTTTCAAGTATCGTTCTCACCTATCGAGTAGTCAAATATACTCAACTTTAACCAATATATACAAGAGATTACTAATATTTATTGTGCGTAATAAGTATCATTATAATACACTTATTTGGAGATACAAATGTTTCTATAAATCTAGTTAAATTTTTAAAAATTGAACATACACGGAAATTTAAGCGACACTCAAACGGTGGTAGTGCGGATGTTAGGTATGCTCCTTTCCGTTTTAGTCAATTTACATAGAAAGGGAGAATGAACATGTGCTTCCTTGAAGTCGTCCTAACATATGCGTGCGTCAGATTAGCATCCGAAGCTGTGTTAGTGATGCAAAGCCACAACATGTGCACAGTGCCGCAACCCTTCTTTCCGACACGGATTATGATGTAGTTGTCCTTTTCTTTTACAAAAATTCAAAATAGCGACTTGGTTTCTTCTTTCATCCAAAGTACCACAAGGGAAAAGCTGCCAACAGACCGCCATGCCATGAACAACCAACTTTTGATTCGGAGTAACTTGAACATACTTGAACCAGCATAGTTTGTCATGGATCGGAGCTCCAACTCAATGTAATTTTTTTTTCGAGCATGTACATAGTGTGTACTTTGTACACGTATGGATGAACTCATCTCATGCCATACTACATTATTTGTTACAAAGATATAGGGTTTGCTTTGTCTTTGCTATAAGTCACACTTCTCTAGCTATATTTGACCATATTTATAGAAAAATGAATAAACATCTATGATACCAAATTATTCATTAGATTCTTCATAAAATATGTCATGATAATGGATTTACTTGAACTTACAGATATTGGCGCATTTTTGTAAAAAATAAAAATAAAAACTGGTTAACCGGAGCAAAGCTAAAATGAATTATAATTTAGAACCTAGCTAGGAATGATTACTCGTATGTCATGTATGCATTACCACTAGCTAATCTGTAGTAGAATGATGCTCAAACAGCGAGCCTGCCTGCTATGTATTCGGCACGCATATATGCATATACTTTTCTGATGGCCTTCAGGCCAATCGCTGCACTCCCAAAGCACCGCCGTCCACTACACATATACGTATCACAGAATCGTTGGCTGCCGTCGCTTTATGCTTGTTAGCAACCAAAATTAAAGGATGCAGTTGAGTACTACAGTGTTAATCAAGATTAATTAATCATGCATATCCTTGGCTTGTGATGCCGATGCTTACCTAAAGCAAGAAAGCTCCACCGCAGCAAGTTGATTAGCACACTAATGACAATATATAACTAAGGCGTGACCTGAAATTAGCACTCAGGTTCAGAGACCACAGACGTATTTTATAACAGCCCGGCTATATTGCACACAGCCGGAGGTGGATCCAATGGTAGAGACTCGTCGTACTGCTGTGTACAGAGGGGCCCACAAAGGCACGAAACAGTCGATAGTCGCACAGGTCAAAGCAGCTCGTGCCATAGTCATCGTGTTCGCTGGCCGGTTTCAGCCAGGGTTTATTAGCTAGTCAATAATATTTTTTTTCACAATAAATCAGCATTAGTCGAACATATGAACTCAAAACTAACTAATGAATGGGCCGAGTATAATACTGCTACGGTAGTACAGTATTATATCTATGTGCACGAGGCAGCCTATGAGTGCAGGGCAAGTTATCTGAACGGATTACGTGTTACGCATGCATACATGTGTGTGATCTCTTTGTTCTTGATTTCTAGACTTGTCTTAAGTCAAAAATTTTAAACTTTAATCTATTTTTTTGAAAAAACTGTCAGGATTTATGGTATTAAATTAGTATCATTAGATATATCATAGAATATATTTTAATAATGTGCTCATTTTATGTCATAGATGTTATTACTCTTTTCTATAAAGTTAGTCAAACTTATAAAAAGGGTTGATTGGCATGAATTCTAAAAGAATTGATTTATTTGGGGACGGGGAGTACCCTCTACGCTTACCGGACTGTACTACCGTATGTAGAGGGTTGTATTTGCATGCCGACGTGCTATACCACTTGTAGTAGTAGTTTTAGCACGCGCGATGTGAGAAGCTACCTAGCTTAATTATTAGGAAGTGCATGCTTACGTACGTGTGTATGTGTATATATGCAAAGCAGTTGATATATATATATCGGTGATATTTTTAGTTTATGATGTGAAAATCGTGGTTTTGATAAATTTGATTGGCATTGCAATGTGGTATAATTCATTTTGCCTTAAGGGCAAATACCCTACTCAACTCACCTGTTTTAGTGACATTCAACATTTGATTTCTCTCCCATCCGATTCATTCATGACTAATAAACATCTGATCCGTCTGATTCGAGTAGCGGGGTTATCTCCTCCAACCCTGGCGTCTGGCAACAGCTCCGGCATTGCAATGTTCGGCAGGCCATAAACGACCGTGGATTATTTACTGTTGGCTGGTTTGGTGTGAGAGAAAAATACTGTTCCAGCTTATAATCCACGATCGTATATGAGCAAGCGAACATGCTGCTTAAATCTAGAGGCAGATCGAAGACTGAACCAGCAACGGGTGCATGGACGACGATGAGGCAAGCCGGCGGTGACAGTGACAACGGTCATCGCTAACCGAGGAGTGGAGGAAGATGGTTTATTTGCCAAGTAAGCGCAAGGACGTCACAGTGATAGCAGGTAAAACCAGGTTAGCAGTAGTCGTAGGCAACAGTGGAAGCGGTGGCGGCGAGGTGGCTAAGCCGGATACACGAAAGGGGGCATTGAAGAAGAAAATGGCTAAGAATCTGAAGACACCATAGGCATAGTTTTAATCAAGATCCGATATAGACAAAAAAATCTCGAGTGCCAACAGACCTCGGACACTAGAGCTTCTTCTGTAGGTAGCCCCCACACCGAGATATTTGACGTCAGCTGGAGCCTGACGAGCATGCAAGAAGGTCTTCCTCTGCCACTACTTAAACCTCAGGCGAGCCACCCCTCCGCTTCGTCAAACTCAAAGCAGAGAGTAGTTGCAGCGAGAGCAACAAGGCGAGATCGACCGATCAGCCATGACGCAGCTGGCGCCTCTTCCCAAGGTGGTGATGGGTTCGCTGGCATTCGGCGTGTTCTGGATGCTGGCGGTGTTCCCTTCGGTGCCGTTCCTGCCCATCGGGCGCACGGCGGGGGCGCTGCTGGGCGCCGTGCTTATGATCGTGTTCCACGTCATCAGCGCCGACGAGGCGTACGCCTCCATCGACCTCCCGATCCTGGGCCTGCTCTTCGCCACCATGGTGGTGGGCGGCTACCTCAAGGGCGCCGGCATGTTCAAGCACCTGGGCAAGCTGCTGGCGTGGCGGAGCCAGGGCGGGCGCGACCTGCTGTGCCGCGTCTGCGTCGTCACCGCGCTCGCCAGCGCGCTCTTCACCAACGACACCTGCTGCGTCGTGCTCACCGAGTTCGTGCTGGAGCTCGCCGCCGAGCGCAACCTCCCCGCCAAGCCCTTCCTGCTGGCGCTCGCCACCAGCGCCAACATCGGATCCAGCGCCACGCCCATCGGCAACCCGCAGAACCTGGTGATCGCCTTCAACAGCAAGATCACCTTCCTCCAGTTCTTCTTCGGCATCCTGCCGGCCATGCTCGCCGGGATGGGCGTCAACACGGTCATGCTGCTCTGCATGTACTGGAAGGACCTCGAGGGCGCCGACGAGGTGGCGGCCGCCGCTGGGAAGGAGATGGAGGCCGTCGAGGAGGGGCGGTCGCCGGCCTCGGTGCTCTCGCTCAAGAATAGCCCCACCGCGACCCCCGCCGCCCACAGCGCTCTGCGTCAGCGCCACGGCCACGACACGGATGACGATCCGGACTCGATGATGTCGGAGAACATCCCGACAAAGCACCGGTGGTTCATGCAGTGCTCGGAGCACCGGCGTAAGCTGTTCCTCAAGAGTTTCGCGTACGTGGTCACCGTTGGCATGCTCGTGGCCTACATGCTCGGCCTCAACATGTCGTGGACCGCCATTACCACCGCCATCGCGCTCGTCGTCGTTGACTTCCGCGACGCCGAGCCGTGCCTCGACAAGGTACGCTCTTGCACACGCAACCCGGCCGGCAGGCAACGAACTACTTGGGCACGTGGTGGGCATGCACATCTCATGCAGTGCAGGGGTTATGTGCAGGTGTCCTACTCGCTGCTGGTCTTCTTCTCGGGGATGTTCGTGACGGTGAGCGGGTTCAACAAGACTGGGCTCCCGGGGGCCATCTGGAACTTCATGGCGCCCTACGCAAAGATCAACCACGTCAGCGGCGTCACCGTGCTCTCCCTCATCATCCTGCTCCTCTCCAACCTCGCCTCCAACGTGCCAACTGGTAAGGCCAGCAGATCGCATATATGTTGGGAACTTTGGGATCGACATGACGAGATGCATGCTTTTTAGAGGCAAAACGTAAATACGTACATACTGATATTACAAGTTACAACTGATGAAGCAACACATGTTATTCACGTATTAAAAGTGATAAATTAAAGCACACCTTTTTTTTACGTATTGCAACAACTGACAAAATCACCAAAAGTTCAATAGCTAGCTAGCTAGTGTGCGTACAGTGCACTACATATATAACGACCTAACTTATATATGACACAATGCAAGAAACTGAAAGCGTATGTACGGGGAAAGATGGCAAAGGTTCCTATAGCTAAGATATTTTGTGGTTAAAGATTTATTTTTCTTTTAACAACTAACAAGGGGCTTGTTCGGCTGACCCCAAATCCGGCTTGATTAAGCTTCTTTTTATCAAATATTCAGCCTACAGCCGCTACAGTTATTATCTTGTTGAAAGTTCAAATTCTACTTATTATCTTGTTATTATTTTCAAGTGTGTCGTCGTGACCACCAGCGCGTTAAGCACTAATGTTACTTCCTTTGACGCGATATATTGATAATTATTAGTACGTCGTTACCTTTTGACGTGTACGTGACACTTTTGATAATGAAACTCTGTGTGGTCACATGTATATATGTTACTCATCACATATATATATCATATATATCCAATCAGTGCTGCTAATGGGGGACGAGGTGGCGGCTTCTGCGGCGACGATCTCTGCGTCGGCGGTGACCCGGTCGTGGCTGCTCCTGGCGTGGGTGAGCACGGTGGCGGGCAACCTGTCGCTCCTGGGGTCGGCGGCGAACCTGATCGTGTGCGAGCAGGCGCTCCGCGCGCCGCGCAACGCCCACGACCTCAGCTTCTGGAGCCACGTCGTGTTCGGCGTCCCCTCCACGCTCGTCGTCACCGCCATCGGCATACCGCTCATCGGCAAGATCGCCTTCTAGCTGCTAGCTTAACTACTACTGTACTGATTATTAGTAGCTAGCGCGCGTCGATATACATGTCGTCGTCCAGGGACGAGGCTTCAGCAACAGCAAACGCCGTCGTGCCATGGCGACTGGTGGTGTGGTGTGGTCGACGGCCGGGGCAAGCTAGGCAATCAATTAAGCGCTCCTACCTAGTACCTACACACTCATGCGTGCATGCATGAATCAACGCATGCCTCTACTAGTGTACGATCTGCATGTTTTTCAAGTCTCAGCTATATATTTGCCGTGTAGCATTATTTGTCATGCTTGATCTCTGGGACGACGACTGCCGAAGTCGATCGTTAACAGGGCAGCGTTGTCAGATGTTAAGAAAGATGCAATGCGAAGATTCAGCAGAGCATGGAGGAAGAACATTTGGCCTTGTTTGCAGCTTTGGATAAATTAAATAGAATCCAGTTGATGATATGTAGTAGTGACCAATGCTTTTTCTAGTCTAATATAAACTAAAGTCCATCAGTGGCATTAGCGTTCACTGTCTTTGCTCTCTGATTCCTGCTAATATATATAACACTGTAGCTATATGTATGTCCCACTTTAGTAAGGAAACAAAAAAAAAATGCTTGTTTTCTCTTTTGGGACCAAAATATTGCATTAGTGGAGATAGTTAAAATCATGATTAGCCTGCATCCAATCATCAGAGAGGTGAAGGAAGCTGGTGGTGACTTCCCAGAACTAGCTGTGAAGCATTTGAGAAGAGAGCAAAATGGTGTAGCCCATAAACTCGTCCAACTTGCAAAGCGAACTGTTCATGCTGCGGCGTGGTATGGTCGTTTCTCAGTGTGTAGAGCATTTAATTCAGGAATGTAATAACTTTTTTGAGTTACGAATAGGGCTGTCTTTTCTTTGAAAAAAAAGTTTAAATCACGATCGTCACACCAACGTCGCAACTGCTACCCCCCTCGTCCTGCAGGCCACTAGCATAAAAAAGGGACATCGGCTTTCTGCTTCTTTAATTCTAACAAGCATTCACTTCTCAAAAAAGGGTTAACATATTGTATATGGTATTGGAAAGGTAGGATGCATGAGTACTTACTGGTATCTCGAGGGTACAAAAACACCTCTTAACCTTAAAAAAAGAAGGAAAGAAGGCACACACATTTCTGACAACATCCTATAAAAGTGAAAAGATATCCTGTTATTATTTACTCTTTGGGTCTGTTTGCTGTTTGGATCCCCATGGATTGAAAGAAAGTTGAAACCAATCTCAAGAAAATGCTTCTATTTTATTTATTTTTTATTTTTTATGCGAGACCCAGTTACAGATGTAGACGTTCAGAAACACGAGCGCACACTCACCCCTATGAACACATGCACGCACACCCTATCCTTATGAGCACCACCAAAGAACTAAGTTGGACCGGCAAATATCGAGATTGCCGAAGTCACCACAGGCGCCTCGCTGTCGACGGGCACGTCGCCTACCACTGAAAGCATAGCGCCGTTAATTGCTGAAATAAATAAATCCAGAAAAATACGAACACCCATGTCTAGTCGAAGACTTGAAACCGGGTGGGCAAGTTCCACCACAAGGAAGCTCAGTTCGCAATGCTTCTATTTTATTATTAGCTTACTTTTCAATTCCTAGGAACCAAACATGATCTTATATACGTAGTTTAGCTTTCACAAATATGAACTGTTATATGTGTCCGAATGAATTAATAAGATTCCAAATAATCAAATCAATTAACAAGGGTCTGTTCGGCTGGTATTAAAGCCGGTTGATAAGCTGGCTGAAGCTGTTTTGTTGTGAGACAAAAATACTGTAGATTCTAGCTGATAAGTCGGCTGATAAGTTCAAGCAAACAGGCCAAAATATGAACTATTATATGTGTCCGAATGAATTAATAAGGTTCCAAATAATCGAATCAATTACCTTGATAAAGTTAGTGCCCACAAACTCCAACAAATTCTGAGTCCTAGCTAAGGTAAGCGTAGAGAAAAAATTATCAGAAATGCTATACAACATACATGTGTTTTAGCAAAAAAAACACATGGATTTTTTCTACATGGCATCCGATGCGCTTTCACGGTGGGGTCACCCCTACCCCTGTGCGCCGCTTTTCCTGGTCGCCTACCTGCCTGCGCTGCGTTCTCCCCCTCACTTGACGGCGGTGGCAAGCGATTTTTTTTACCGAGCCAGCGGTAGGCCTCTCCTCCTCCTCCTCCTCTGCGATTTGTGATTTGTCATTCCATAGAAAAAAAAATATTTCTTGTGATATGTGGATATGTGATTTTGTGATTTGTGATTGTCTAGAGGTAGAAGAAGACTAGAGCTTGGAGGTAGAAGAAGGGTGGAGGCTATTGGATTTTAATTCTATGGTGAAAAAAATTCATATATTAAAACTATATAAAACACATGGTTGTGTGGTAGACAGACTCAAAAATTATATGCAGCAGTGCAACACCAGGCTATTCGTGCAGACACCTTGCTGATGACTACCACGTGTCTATGTTGATGCAAATCATGTCGATGTTGCAAATCCCGTCTGTGAGGAGATCGAGTCCTGATTGCTCGGTTGGTTGTTCGGCCGCTGGTTCCGAATTTTTTATTTTTTAGTCTTTTTTTTGAAAAATTTTCACAAATATGTTCCTGAAGATAAGATTTCAAAATCTGGACCCTTAGCTCGGCGCCACGTTTCGGCGCCATCGTTTCTGGCGCCGGGCTTTTGGGCTCGACGCAGACAAGACGGTGACATGGCAGGCAACTCATGCTAGAGATCTTGGCGCCAAGCTTGGCGCCGTATATCCTGGCACCGAGCTCGGTGCCGTAGATCTTGGCGCCGAGCTTGGCGCAATGATCTATGGCGCCGAGGTGGTGTTTTAACCTCGGCCCCAACCTTCCTGTCCGAGCCTTCTTCCTCTTCTTTCTCCTTCCTCTCGGGTTTTTTCTCTCCCCACTTCGCCATACCTCACGAATCGATATATTGGACCTTGGAAACTTTGATTTGATCCGTAGATCTTTGAGAGCAAGGTATCATTGCTCCTCTCCTAGTTTTTTTGCATTGATTCGATATATATTAATCGGATTTTTCAACGTAAGAATCGTCATTACTTAGGGTTTCATGCAATTTTTAATATTTGTATTATACCTAGGTAACCGCAGCGCATGTTTTTATGTTATGGGTTCATTGTTGTGCATCAAATAGGATACCCTAGGTTTAGGGTTTAATGTTAATTGTTTTTGGTTCTTAGAACGAAATTGGTTGTATTGTAGTTATGGTTCTCATTGACATTAATTTGTGATGTTTTGATTTTTGTTTGTTAAATTACATTTATTTTGTTAGATGCAAGAAATGTATCAGGAAGAGTTTTGGCGAAAACAGGGTTGTCCTCGAGAATTATACCCCGATGCGTCTAGCAAAGATGCCCCCATCCCTCTTGACCTCTATGTCCCTAACTGTGACTGTGGTTTCCTGGCCCATGTGTTTCAATCGAGACATCCAGACACAACGACGTGTTGCTTCTACACATGCAGTCGTTTTAATATAAGTAATTGTTTCCACTATCTTTTTTTCTTTATTTGTGTAAGTATGCTACTAATATTTTGTTAGAATCTTGTTGTGTAGAACCATGAGAGGTGCTTTTTCTTTCAGTGGATCGATGGTGCAGACAAGTTTGACTCTAGGTACCTCGTTTTCGATGATTGGTTTAGAGGGAGACATCCACGTGAGCACTTCAAGCGGTGGGTTCCACCCCCCTAACCCCCTGCCAATGACGGCTAAGGAGAAGCACCTAGCCGTAGTTAGACGACTCGAGGAACCTCCTCTGTGCGAATGCGGAGATCGGGCTATGATAAACCCTGAGAATACGTTGGAGTTTGTGTGTTCGAACAAACACGAAGTAAGTGGAAAGTATATCTATTTAATTGTTTATCTCTATTGGTGTGCGTGTACTAATGTCTCCTCTTTTAGGTGTATGGATTTGCGAAGTGTTATTTTAAGGAGTGGCTCTATGGTCCTAAGAATCAATGACTAGAGCCACCAAAGGCAAAGAAAAGAAGAAAGAAAGATTAATTTACAAAGCACCTCTAGTCAAGTACGAATGTGGTGTTAAATCCAACTATGGTCTAGTCCCTTCAGAGCTTGAAATAGACTATTATTGTGGCCATATAGTTGACTATGATGAGGTTGATTATTTTTGTGGTAAACATGAAATTGTATTTTGTTTCTTTTGCTAAGACATATATGATATAATTTTTCGTTTGAACAGAGCACTAGGAAATGCAGGTGGGAATGTTATGAGGGTCAAGCTAAGTTCTTGGATGAACTGAAGGGGAGGCAAATAATTGCACAAAAGAGGGGATATGGACCTAACTACATCAACCTATTCGTTAAACATCACAAAAATAAGATGCGTGAGTTTGCTAGACAGCGCAGTATTCGTAACCCGATCGTTGTTGGGCTTGATAAATGAGGATAGGAGAGATGGAGGACGTTAGAGGAGGAGAGGGCAAGGAGGCAAGGGAGGAGACAAGAGTACAGATGCAGGCCTTGAACGAGCATGTTGTTGCATTATGTGCCTGTGAGTGCTTCAAAGCTTTTTTTTCGTTGCCTAATTTTAAATGTAATATAATCACATTGCTAACTAATTGCATTTTATACATGAAGGGATTGGATGCAGTGAGGACTATAACGTAGAGGTGGCTCGTGCAAGGTATGAGGAAAATAAGTTAGATGAGCACAGAACATGAGCTGGTCGCACAGTTGAATCACCGGTTGTGTTGTCTGATGAGGGGGACGAGGATAATGACGACACTGCCAGACTGAGTGAGCTCATCGCTCTAGCAGAGGCGGGCTTGTAGGCCGAGAAGGCTGAGGACGACACTGGCAGACTGAGCAAGCTCATCGCTCTAGCAGAGGTGGGCTTGCAGGCAGATGAGGCTGAGGACAACACTGGCAGACTGAGCGAGCTCATCGCTCTAGCAGAGGTGGGCTTGCAGGCGGAGGAGGATGACG